TGTGGAAAATGACGAAAATTATAGATCAACTACATTGCTAGGCAAGACAACGTTTGCCGGGCCCGCTAGTAATATATATTTTTGAAAATAACTGTATGATCAAAATGTTCAAATAAACGGCGAAAACATAAAAATTCGTCACACGGACCATCCCTGAGCACATACTTGTAAAACGCGTATAAATTCCACAAATATTTTTTTATTTTTGATTGTGGAAATTATGTGACTCTTTTTTAGGTTACCATCCGAAGCAAAACGTCGATGCTCCTGACTTCTATTTGCATCTTCTCTTTTTTATTATCAATGTTAACACAAAATGAAATAAAGTAGCATGTTTAACTATTCAATATTGTAACGTGTTGCCGCAAATGCGACATACATATAACATATAGTACGTTTACATTGCACAGGATTTCGTTAACCCAGTAGTTATGCCAAATAAATACTTGAAAGTAGGTTAACCCTGTAAAATGCTCTAATGTATATGCCGTTTTTGTTCCACAGTTATTGAAATTGTTATTAAAGCAAATTATACTTTTTATAATTTTCATAACATTTCATGTTGAGAAATGACACAAGCAGTTGTTGTTGACATTCCAGACAAAAATTGCTTAAATCTACTATATATTTAAGTTTTTATATTTTTTTAATCTGAACCCCAAATCATAGTTTTAAAACCTTTTTTTCGGCGTCTTTTTTCGTATACATATATACATATTTCAAAAAGGCGCGAAAATTTTTATTTTAAATTATATACAGTCGAATAAGGTTATAACGAACTTTTCTTTATAGCGAACACATTTCATGGCCCCGAAGTTTTAAAATATATTTTTCAAACAAATCTTTGCTTTTATTGCGAACTATTTTTCCACTCCCAACATTCAGTGTTCATATATTTTAATTTGGTTATAACGATTTGCTATAAACATACTTAATATTATACTTTACGATGGCAATCCTCGCAAAAGCTCATTTTTATGCTAAGGTTGGCAATCTTTACAAAAAATATCAGTTTTTATGCTGTTATCTCATGAATGATCTCCCACATCTAATGTAATGAAGTGTTTTTATTAAAAAAATATATATATTTGGATAATTTTTATATAATATATATATAATCAAAAATACATTTCCCGATAAGCCTTTAACTGGCTTTGCCTTGGGTATAACGGACTGATTCACTTGGTCCCTACAAGTTCACTATAATCGTACTTGACATTAATCTAATTTTTTCCACCACGTTCTCTAGAAAACCACATTGCAAACGAATTTGCAGACGTAATTAATTTGCGTCAAAACTACCGACTAAAAGTTGTTGCATTTTTTTTGTCATATCAAAATGCGATATTCGTTTGCATTGCGGCGAACTGAGCGCCGTATATCGAAGATGAAATATTATTTACGGATGAATGACCAGGAAACTTGTTCCCACATAAATATCATTTATTCTGTTGCAAGCGTGGGCATACCCCGCGAATCATGCACTCGCATTAGTTTGCATATCTGCCTACAAGTCAACGTGCACCCATCTCATGGAGAATCACTTAAAAAAAAAAACAAAAACAAATTGGTATTCACGTCAAGATGAAATGTGACTACTTCATTTTTGACAAAACAAACTAATGGTTCTCTATTTATTTATTTACTTTTCTATAGTATATGGACTGCTAAAAAATAAAAGAAAATATTATTTCGCCATACCCAAAAATTTATTAATAGGCAAATTAATAAGAAATATGATACTGGTTTTCAAATTTGGCGTATGACGTTCCAAAGACATGTTGTTCTGCAAATAAAGGAAACGCGGCAAAAATTCTGTCTCATTGTTTTTGGTATACCTCGGCATAATTTTTGTTGTTTTTTGGAGAATATAAGCCGATTGCCACATTGTGTTAAGTATATTTGGTGATTTTGAAGAACGTAATTTCTGCGTATTTTGAAGAATATTTCTATAATTTTCCATAAAAAAGACGCTGAAATAGCAAAAAAGGGATCTTAAAGTGCAGTGGACTTTGTATGAGTTTCGTGCAAATGAAAGTAAGGTGTATGTAAATCGTAGCTGTTCATGCATGGGAACTGGTTATAAGCTAGTTCTCTGCGTTCTATTATTTAAGTCATTTCACGCCTCTTTACTTTGAGAAATTCTGAGCATCCCTGATGTAAATGATCGACATAGTTTAGTCTCACTAAGAAGAGTCGACTGACATAAGGAGAATAAGAGTCTAACCGGTCTGCAACGTGATATACATTTCTATCATACCCATCATAATTTTCTTGTGATGAAAATTTTAAAAAGTGTAAGAAAGGTTTCCAAAATCTGAAAAAGTTTCAGTTTAAATAAATGCAAATTTATTTATTTTATTTGCATTTTTTGTTATATGACAACATCCATGTACAAAATTAGCACATACGGTGTAAATAATGTAGCAACACCATTTGTGGTCAACTTGAACACTACGTTGTCAATATGATACCGAGATTTTAACAACGGTTTGTACAACAAACGTATACATATTGACACAATCTGTGGTCAGAAATCGACACCATAGCGGTGTCAAATTGATATTCTTTGGTGTCAATTTTGAAATATCCATACCGTTCCATTCTCATTTTGTTCCCAGAGTAGTCCCAATAAAAACAAATATTTTATTAAAAGAAATAATTAAAATTAAAAAAAAAATGATTCTACGATCCTACATAACAACTATATTTAGGTTATTACACCTTTTCGACCTTGGAACCATTTAAACCAGAAGTGCTGTTGTTGTCTCATTGCGTTTCCACCAACCATCTATTTTAGAAGGCACTAACATTGTTTCATCGTCGATTTAAAGCTATAAATATAGTAATACCATAGACAGACGACAGCCTTAATTTGCATTAAAAATTTCTTAATTTGAATTAATATTTACCCCTGACAGACGAGAGTTTCTGCATTTACGAAACAGTTTTTTGCTTCAAAACAATTGTTTGTCATTTTTTACATTTGTTTCGATATTTTTCGGGATTACATCTTTAGGAAATAGATACATGACATAAAGTAGGAATAGCAATTATGATCTTAGCAAAACAGCTCCCAATTTAAAAAATGGTTGAAATTTGCCTTCATTTCTTATTTTTATTTTCATAAATATAAATAAATTTGACAATAAACAATTAATTTTCGACAGCACTGCCATATTGAAATTGCCTAATTCTGTATAAATTCAGTTTGATTTTGTGCATTAACAACACATAAAAATTAGGATAATGTACAAGTTAATTTGAATTAAGGCTGTTAATGCAAATTAAGGCTGTCGTCTGTCTAGGCTATATATCTTTGTTTTTTGCCTAGCAAAGATATTTTCCCTGAACACCACTCACATTCCTAATGGTGGTATAGCCTCCTTTAATTTTTTTACAGCAAACTCCGAAATGTTACCTGTGCCGCTAAAAGATTAAAATGTTAATATTATATATTTTTTTAATATTAATATTCTGAACATGAAATCTATCACTTTTTACTTAGCCAAAACGGAAAAGGTTAAACAACTAAACATTTTAAGCATTTCTGATCTAATGGAGAGCACTTCCGTTTTGAATAATTAAAATATTGATTGAAAAATTCTAAAAATATCACGTCACCCAGAAGGCGAATTTCAGGAAAGACCCAACGCTGTATCTACATTTTCTGTCAAAAGTTGTTGTTGTGGCGAAAATATCATTAACAAATTTCCATTTAATTTTCACTTTTTGAACACATATAATGAAATTTAAACAAAGCATTTATTTTATCAAAACAAATAATTGAGTTTTCCCCATATTTGATAAACGTTTTGTGTATTTTATAATTTTTAAATAAATTGAAAATTACAGCATTTTTCGGTTAATTGACCCTAAACTGAAAATTACAGTATTTTTCGGTTAATTGACCCTACGGTTAATTGGTTTCCACGCTTAATTGAACTACATGATGGGGCAACAAATATTTCATAGGAAAATACATGTAAATTTTCTCGGATAATTAAACCCTGTTAATTGATTTTCCCGCTTAATTGGTTAAAAATGGATGCCACCAAAAATAAATTTCATCATAATTGCATCATAATAATTCAAAAATAATCTGTCATTTTTTTACAAACATATTTGACATAATTTGTGAAAAAGACTAGGTGAGACCTCTACTAATTCAAAACATATGTTTATTGCTAAGGAAAACCTGCGAGAAAGCGTAATTTGTATTTGACATTGAATTTTTTAATCATTAGTAGTTCCAATTATACGTGATTACTGTAATTGAACAAACTATTCAATTAAGCGTGTTCGGATAATTGGTTCCTCGGTTAATTGAACAAAAATTTGTGCAAATTCGATCCCTTTGTCAAAGCTAACTACGGCTATTTTTTTCGAATTTTATATATTTATTACATATTTCAAGGTTTTAAAGATCATTTTCAACTAAACTATCGTACAAAGAGTTTTAAACAATTAGTTTTCGCCTCGGCGAAAATATTGACGTAAGCCTAAGTTTACTGGCCGACCTTATATAGGCCTTGGATGCAACCAGACTAGGATGTGTACCTTTATTTAGAAACGGAGTCGATTATCTGAGAATCTGAAAACTTAAATGGTTGCAACAGCCAAAGTAAAACAGTTTACTTTTTTTGTGTTTCCAAAGGACCATCGCAGATTTAAATAGGTAGCCGCAACAGTAATTTATTAAGTATTTTTTTTTTTAATTACAACAACATTTTTGACATTTTTTTGTACCAACATTATAAAATCTGCTCCACAATACGTGCGTATCAAGATTAATGATATAAATCCTGATAGAGATCTTACACTGTATTATAACTTACGATATTAGTATTATTGTAGGTATGCGTTCGAAAATATTATTAATTACTAAAATAGTATTGTAAATATTTTGAGAATGTTGTGTAATAACATTTTAATATTTATATTTTATATATTCTTAATCTACAGGATAAGAGGAAATTTTGAACAAAAATACCGTCGAAATGCATAATAAGGATATAAGCTATTATTTCTGCAATAAACCGTGCTTCAGATTAGTGATTACAGCGTGTATAGTGCTGTCACATCTGCAGATAACTTCGCCGACAATCGCCCCCAATATTTATAATGACAACTACGAAGAGACAGGTGCAGAAATTTACAATTACCAGTGTTTGCCGAAACGAGGTGAGAATTATTTTCAATACTCATTTTATCCTCTCATTTAAATAGGTATATTATTTGTGTCACTTTATTTGTTAGAATTAACAATATTAACATAACATGGATTTCAATTATTACACTATGGGCCAGCAATCTATTTTAATTTTATTTTTTGCAAGAATTCCAAAATTAATATTTTTAATATTTCAGTTTATCATCTTCGTACCAAAAATGATAAATTTGTGTCCCCTTATTAGGGTAGCCCCCATGTCACGGTAACCCAAAATTCGGTGCACGTGGTAGGAACCATATAAACGAACGCCCTAATACTTTTCGATATTTTGGGCTCGTTTTTCAACCAAATTGGATATATTTCAAATTTAATAAAGGTATGTCATAGTTCTATGCCCATAATACATAAATCAACGATTTCCTTAAATACTGATAAGCAATTAGATATTGCATTTCTTCTTCTGTTTGATGCTCTATTTTGAATTCATTTTTTTTTTGATTTTCCAAATCTGATTTCACATTTATAATTAGTGATTATAGGTCCACAAAACGTGCTCAACAAAAATTTTATTAAATAAAGTTTTTAACATGTTTACTTTTTTCTTTTAATATTTGTTTATTTCATAAACCAAAAATAAGCTTAGCCTTTATTATTACTGTTTATTACCTATAATATAGTACAAAAATAGCAAAAGATGAAGGCAAATTTAGGAGAATCAAAACGAAATGGGGTTCTCTTCTCATATTTGATGCAAGACGAATTTATCTTAGTACAAAATAGTAAATCTAGGAATTGTTAAGAAAAAACGACACACACGCACAAATTTTGTTAATTTTTGTGGAGAAAAAATAGAAAACTATGTACAGTAGGTTTGACTTACCTGTAGAAACAACACTTGCAATTATTTCCGTCAATCTCTCACATGCATCAACGTGCACGTAAAAAAAACTATAAAAACACCTTGGGGTAGATTCGTCATTTTAAAGTGGGACACATTCGGCCATACACAGATAGTGCTATATTATTTCCAGTGGGTTTAAATTGCTAATTCCATTGTATATATCTCAAATTAATCCTCACGATGTAGGTTAACAAGAAACAGTTCTAATGACAACCAATGAGATTTGACAACCAATGAGAATATAAAATACAAAAATAGAGCAAATTCGGTTGAAACGTGTCCAAAATTCTCAAAATACCGACTTGAATCGATAGTAATAATTTAAGCAAATTACAGCCAATTTGATTGAAAAACGTGTCAAAAATTCCCATATTGGAGTGTACCATGTTATGGAGTGTACCAACAAAATAGAATTTTGTATAGCGGAATTTGAAATATCTGTTTGTATAATACGAAATACAAAAATAATGAGAATATTTAAATTGTTGTTCGAATATATTTTACATTTGACATTAATACAAAAACATGAAGATTCTTACTGAGTGAATTTTACCACTAAAGGTCCACACTCAATATAATATACATCATGATTTTAATCATCAAACCTTCAGTGGGTCGTACTTACACGGTCAAACATTCAATAAATTGCTCATATTATGATACATTTTGTATGTCACTGCACAACTATCAAAAGATCTCTCTTAATTTGCTCTAATTTACAGAACTTTTATGTAACCGAATAACCATCCAGTAACAATTTGTGTAAATTATAATAACATTTATAAGGAACGTTTAAAAATGTCGACAGACGTTTAAAAAATAGAGAATATTGATGGAGGTCTGACACTGCATTAATGATACCAATAACAAAGAAAGTTGTTTGCCCATAGAATTAATATATATGGTAACTATGGAAATTCATTGGAATGCAATATATGTGTAGACAACTGCACACTTGTATATTTTCAGACCAAAGTCCGAATAGAGGCCGAAATTGATTCTGATTTTTATATTCAAGTGTTTTTTTTAACAATTCAGAGAAAACGTAGTTTGTTTCTAAGTCAGCAACAATCCACTAAAACTTTACATTTTAAATATTAATTGTTTATATCATTTTAATGATGAAAATAAAGCGAATTTTATTCCATATTTTGTTCGACAATTCATTGGTTTTCTTCAAGAGCTGTTTTTATTGATGTACTGACAAAATAAGAATTGTAATTTATTTTCAATATATTATTGAACGTATTCTTAACTAACTATATGTATTTTTCTTTTTGTTTATTATTTATTGAAATTTAAAATCGGGAATCCGCGACATAAATATACAGAAATAAATAATAAAATAAACAATATCACTGTTGAGGAATTAAATATATCACAGAATATATCTCTTAACTGAAGCTTAGTATTGTCTTTGTCTTCCTTTGTTCTTATTGATCTGTCAATTCGTTGTTCTATTCTTAGGGTTTCTAAAGCACTTTGACAGTTAATGAAGTCATCAGCTGCGCTAAATGGACAACCTATTTATTGTGCTATGGTATAGCTTTTGTTTTCGTTTTGTTTGATTTTTCTAAGATTCTGACATTTTTGAAGTCAGATGTGTGGCCAGATTCCTTTGTTTATGCCATTTTGATGTTATTTTACTCTCGCACTTAATACTTGTTTATACTTTTTTCGCACTTCTTGTTTTCGCTGCCAGGTTGTTTCATATGAAACATTGTTTTGTTTTCGTTTTTGTTCGTTAAAATATCGTTTGTAGTGTGTTGTTTTATCTGCGTGCTACTGTTGCTGTTATGTCTCTTATGATGTTTCTCAAGTTTTTAGTCTCCGTCGAGTTTGGTATGTAAGGTACACTGATAACATTGATGGTTTTGGTTGGTTTGTTTTTAAATTATTCTATTTATATATTAAGTCGTAGGGGATAGCTATTTTCTTCAGGTAATTTATGATGTGTCCTGCTGATGTATCTATTGAGTACCATTTTGTTTCTTATTTTTTCGAATATATTTGTTGTCGTTCCTTATAATTAACATGTCTAAATTTCATTGCCATTGTCTGTGAATGTAATAATTGTATTCTCCTCGATTTCTCGTATAAAATTGTTGGTGTCTTCTAAAATTGCTAAAAAAATATATTTCTATTTGTCATTGTTGTAGATGTTCTGCTTGAATTTTCATAATAATTACCTGGCCAAAAAAGATAAAATAAAAAATTAATTAAATATTTATTGATGGGTATGACAAAATATATACAAAATATTAATATCACATAAAACATACAGGGAAGATATATTTTACCCAATGACACCAATTAGGTTAAACTAATGTTAATTCCAATTTCAAATGCCATTATATTGTTTGTGTGACCCGTTTGTATAATCATATTGATTTAGCTCTACCTTCAATCAACATAAGTGTGAACATCGTTAATATTCATCAAGTGTTACTCTAATACAGGCACATTGGTCGTACAATTAACTGAATGTACAATAATTATACATGTAATAAAATCAAGTCTGACTACATAATTTTCAGCCGTTAAAAATTCGAAAAAACACATATTTGTTATAAACGACGTACACTTTAACTACTTTTGCCAAACTAGTAAAGAAGTAAACTAAAAAATAACACCAACACTTTATAGATACCACATTCCATCTATAATATAGAATCCATATAATCCAAAAACTGTTGGAAAACTTAATGATTTACTAGTCATATTAGGAGAAAAATTACAAATTTAATTTATAATATAACCCACGTTTTGCACACTTAAATAGACATTTATGACAAAAATTTGTGTAGAACAAATTACTCAAATATCTCTGTAATCGTATTCTTTCAATATATACTGTCTTTAAGAAAAATTTTTTTCAATTCGAAATGTTACTGAATTGAAAAAAAGTTAAGTGTTAATCGATTGTACGACCCTTTTGTTATGTAGCTTTTCGTGGAACTTATAAAAATGTATGTATTTTCCCCGTTTCGGATTTTTCAGTAATTAAATGCATAATTAAGTCATAGAAACCGTAAAGACTTGCCAAAATGCATTTTGGGAAAAGAGTTTATGAAAACTATGTATGCAGGGGTTGGGTAGAACATCTTCTAATTGGGTTCACATTTTGACTTAGCCCCTATATAAGGGCACTTCCGAATTTCTGTATTTTGAATCTCCGCGAACAAGCAAAAACGTCGTTAAGCGCCTTTGCTTATTTGATTCGGAACAAGTTGAGTTTAAGGGCTCATCCCGGATTTCTGAAATACCATAGGTAGATCTCGTCCTCCTGATCACGAAAATATATAACTTTTATGGGGAAGTCCATTCTTCTCGAGATATGGGCCTTAGAAGTTCCGAAAATTAATATTCTTATAACTTCGCCAATTAAAGGCCAATGAAGGAAATATTGGTATGGTTGTAATGCTTAAACAATATACTATCATGTTAAATTAATTTTAGTTAAAAATGTCACACATAGACGGCCTTCGACCGGGGATTTAAGACTTTCTCCTATGGACAGGTGGTACTAATACCTTTTTAAAATCATATTTTTTCCAAGTAGCCTGCCTTCGGCCGGTGATTTGAGTCTTTCACCTATAGACTGATGCAAATATGGGTTACGCGATCCCAATTCCTTTTTTTTAAATTTTACTTTTTCCTAATAGACGGCCTTCGGTCGGGAATTTAAGACTTTCTCCTATGGACAGGCGCAAATTTCGGATACGCGATCCCAATTCCTTTTTAAAATTATATTTTTTCCAAATAGCCGGCCATCGGCCGGGGATTTTAAACTTTCTTCTATGGACATGTGCAAATTTCGGCTACGCGATCCCAATTCCTTTTTAAAAAAGTACTTGGTTCCAAATAGCGGTCCTTCGGCCGGGGATTTAAGACTTTATTTTATGGACAGGTGCAAATTTCGGCTACGCGATTTCAATTCCTTCTTAATATTATATTTTTTCCTAATAGCCGGACTTCGGCCGGAGATTAAAAGCTTCCTCCCATGAACAGGTACTAAATTCGGCTACGTGATCAAAATTTCCTTTTATATTATTATATTTTTTTTCAAAACAAAAGGTTACAAAAAATATAACAAAATAAAAAAATATAAATATAACAAAAATTTAAATAATATCACAAAAAATTAAATGTATATAAATCAATTTAACAATGTTTTAACATTCCTCCCCTTTGAAGGAATAACTTCCTCTCCGGAATCGGATTCCTCCTCAGAATGCGATTCCACCATAGAGGTTTCAGAAGAACCCATTCTGAATTCCGCTGTAGGATTTGTTTTATCCAGAAAGAGACTCCCTAAATGGCGCCACAAACCCTCTATAGTATTAGTATGCTCTCCATTTTCAGGATTTACAAAATGGAGCGAATGATTCACCTTATGGTGGATATAGCCTTCTTTGTCCAATGTGTCGTACGCCTAAATATCAAAAATATATATTTTACTATGGTTAAGTCTATAAATATTTCATACTTACCCTCCAATAGTCGGAAATTATTGAGGGGCAATAGGGTTTCCTTCGAACGGTCTTCTACGGGGACAAAAAACATTTATTGGTTCCCCGTTCAACACCGCCGAAAACCCATTGCCCTTCAACATAATGACTTTCTTGGAATGATAGTCTATTTCGACTACCTTTCCTGGGCCGCCAATCTCAATCTGGACCTGGTCATCGGCCCCGGAAACTTTTCTGACACCTAAAAGAAACAAATTGTACAATAAAAACTCATGGACAAATAATACTCTACTTACCTCCAAATCCAACCATCACCACCTGCACATGGTCTTAATTCTAAATGATGTCCCTTGGTACATTTAAGAATCCCAGGGTGTTACGCGCGGTATAATTTATTTATGTAAATTTATAAATTTATCTTAAGTGACCACTAGTTACTCGGGTACGCTTGCCTTTAGCACAACCTAGCTGGTCGGAAATGGGTGGATTCTTTAGTAACTTGAAGATGCACAATCCACCGTAATGCAAAAATCGTACCCGTCTTGATTTATAATTCTGCGCAACATTCTCAACCTCGGCACTGCAAAGATATCGTACAGGCCTGACTATCCCACCCGACCTTGCTGTAGCGGTCAAATCAACTCACGATGTTACCTACAGCCCTTTACTCTAATGCTAATGGTCGTTTAACATTTACATATTTCACCTCTTGTTATTGTCCGTCCGTCTTGTTCAATCTATGTTCACATATTTCATTTCTATTCTTATTTCTAATGTTAGTTCACTTATCAGCCTATTGCTTAACCTACTTCTTATTCACAATTCTTTTCTTGCATTGCTCATGGTGATTCAAATTCTCACTTAAAAATAATTTTACTACATACTTACAAATAACATATGTATACTACGGCTGCTAAACCTCTGCTAGTGTACTGGCTACTGCTGTGTTGTTAACTCTTGCAGTGATAAACTGTTATACGGCAATTCTCAGAAGTTTTATGGACTGCCGATAGAAGATTTCATGACGAAGCTCGACCCGATGACATTTCGTTATTTCCGCTTAATGAACGTATATTTTATTCGCTCTTCTAGATTGTGTTTGGGTGTATTATAACGATGACCCCTTTTTAATACTTTAATAGATTTTTAATTCGACAACATGCTGCCAACTCCGTAATTGTGAATTATCCAAACTGTACCATAATTTTGTTTTGTCTCGTCCTATTTCACATCAACAGCCTGATAGATCATAGATCATCAACAGCTGATAGATCATTTCTCCGTTTAGCCAACACTGATGTTGTGTCATGAGAACACTCTTATTCGTAATATTAACGGAATACATAACATTTAAAATTTCAACTCATATATTTTGTACTGTACACAAAAATTACAATTTTTACGAAAAATTTTTTTTATTTAATATAAAACATTAACTAATATAATCCGCAACACATTTAAGAATCCCAGGGTAGGTAACAATTTCCTTACAATTGAAATTGTTAAAGGACCATCGCGCTTGAAATTTCTATGAAATGACGCACCCTTTTATTATAAAATGGCGCAAATCATGACGTCAAATAATAATTTAAATTATTGTTTATTCAAATTCGTAAAGAAAAACTCAAACTAAAATCTAGCAACGTATGCATCATTAGCATTAATTGGTTGTAGTCTAAAATTGCTATCAACAATAAAACTTCGTAGCACATAAAAACTACAATAATTTACAACTACGCATAAAATGCAACAAGTAAAAACACAACATAAAATCAGTGAACATGTTTTATTTTAGTCAATAAATATATATATATAATAACTAAATATATATAAATGCAGTGAAATATTGTGAATAGTTGTGTCTACCTATGCTATAATACGCATATTACCTCAAACGCCTCATAAATACCAATGTAACATGCATATACATTTTTAGAACTTTCAAGGCCTATATCTCGGGAAGTATGGACTTCCCCCATAAAAGTCATATATTTTCGTAATCTGGAGGACGAGGTGCATAATATTCAACAAAATATTGTGTAATGTATATAAATGCTTTAATTTAAGCAATAATAATCTTCAAAAGTTTCACAAGAATAGGTTAAAATTAAACGCATAATGTTGCAAATCCACTCTTTTAAAGCAAAAATTGTGTAGGGTTCAAGAAGAAGGTCGACAAACTGCAAAAGCAGAAGCAATTATTCAATTTGACATTTTTTGGACATCAAAAATGGCATTTTAATGTACTGGCCTATGATATTTCACATGGTCTTTCTATTTGACAATTTCTAAAAAGTTTGGTTTTGAATATACAAAAAAATTAAGGAGCATTTTGAAACATACAGAGACGAGTTTAATACGTTTTTAACATTGAGAAAAAAGTGCCAATGGTACTACTGCTTTATAAAGATTTTATTAAGGTGAATAAGGTACTGCTCTAATCTTAGCACCCATTTAATTACTATACTAACGATCAGACTTTTTGTTTTAGGTTTTGAACAACAATAGAGGAAAGTAAATCGACCATCTCATGGGAAACCTTAATTTGTATGTTACATATATCTGTATATACAATCACCCACAGATCATGAGGGATAATGAATTTCACATCTGTGATTGGAAGGCTAAATTACGTGTATGGAACCAAAATTGATTTAGTCTCATTATTGTTACAACTACTTTTTATTATATTTTTAATATTGAATGTCCTAAAGATATATGACAAACTTGTGATATTTTTAAATTTTGCCTTGCAGTGTTAAAGGCCTAAAATATATATATATATATATATACATAAATAATTTAAAGAAAATTAAAAATCTCTTGAAAAGTCTTGAACATTAATATTTTATAAAAAATCCATTTGTTGTACGTTTACTTTAAAATAGAATTAAAAAAGTATATATAAATATTTGAAGTTTTTTGGCCTTAATTTAAATGTAATATGTATTTTTTATATGTATTAACATATTTTTCATTAAATCAACAAAGCATTTAATTGAATACAACTACAAACTGCGCATAAATGTGCTTAATTTTGATGAATGCTGTTGAAAATCGCAGCAAAAAATGTGTAATGTTTTAAACACTTTCGGCGTTTAATTTTATAAAATTACTACTCTTTATGCGGCATCTTATTGCCTATCATTATTATTGTGATTTTGGACCAAAATAATTTAGAGTGTAGTTAAATATATTCCAAACTATTTAAATACATATATACTAAAGTCAGGTGTAACAAACGGGGTTCTCAAGCATGATATTAGAAAATGCTTCAAATAGATTTCAACATTGAGATGCACAGACTTACGCTAATTATAAATAAGCGCTTGCAACGCTATCCTACGGTATTACAGAAAGAATGAAAATGAAATTATTTTGTGTTTCAAGTTATTCTGAATTATAAAATATAATATATTTTCTTACTGTTGTTTAAGTGAAATAATATATCTACTAGAATAAATCGTTTTTTAGTATTTTAAAGAGATACAAAGAGATATAAGATATCACTTGGTATAATAGCACTTTAATAATCCACGTCTGCGTATGAACATTTAAACATTTCGTATAACATACGAATTATCAACACACGTACTTTTGGCACAGGCAACGTCAATGTCTACTAATTGTTTACTTACTTAGTAATGCGTGTAATGCTCTCCGAATTTATTTGAGTTATTCTTCTATTTAATTCTAGTTGACTCGTTATTTGCTTCCAATACGTACGGAATCGGCTTACAAGTGACATCATGGCCGTCGCATCAACTCATATCTCGAATATTTGCTTTATTTCTACGCGAGGTTCTCAACTATGAGAATGTGTACTTATTCCCAGTTATGTTCAATGGAAATCCCAATGATGTCAACTATGAAGCGATGAAGCTCACCCATATTATGGACTTGATCAAGTATGTATCCCGGGGCATGCTCATCCTAAAAAATTGTTATTGTTTTCTATTTTTTTCTTAGTAATCCCAAAATTCTTATGATGAATGTAGGTCTATGGACACCAGTTGGAGGACATTCGGTTATACCGCAAAACGTCCATGCTGCCGGTACCTCAATGTTTCCTGGGCGATTTGGGTGGTTTGCTTCGCCAGTTCACAGTAATATATCGGGCCCATCGTTGGACTATTCAATTTTTCTCAATTACACAAATCCCCAGTATAAACAATTTGTATTGGATGAAGGAGAATTGCGCCACTTATTGCAGGATAGCGGGTAAGCATTGTCATATTGTAAGCTTCCATACAATCAGAGATACGAGTTTGTTTATTTTTGCAGATCCGAATACTTTCAAAGCCGACTCTGCAAAGAGATCCGATGTGCTATTCTCTTGGCCGAAAACAAAAACGACACGTCCTTTGTTCAACACCAAATCGAGGAAATGAATGCGTACCTCAATATCGTCTGGCTTGGACCACGTTTTCGATCCGAACTTGATCGATTAAATTTTCGCTATAGATCAGACTCCGATAAACGATTTCTGATTTTGCATTGGACTCCATCTGACATAATATACAATGCGAGACCAGCATATGAGTATATTACGCTGCCACTGTGCGAGGACGCCCGTTCGCTATATCTATCATATTGCAAATATGAGTTGACACCAGTTATAAAATATTATGCCAAAGGTGTTGAAAAAGACGAACGATTGATGTTTGCTCTACGTTATTTTTGGATTTCTGTGGCAGATATGGATTATCTTTACAATGAATTAAAGGAGCAACGAAATTTCAGTCATGAAGGTTTTGAAATGTACGATAAGATAGCTTGCAAATGGATGCAAAAGCAAAACTTTGAGAAAAGTACATGGATTTTGAGGAAACGCAAAACATTGTCGGTCGGTGGCATATTTCCGATCTTAGAAAACAGTCGGGGACATCAAAATCTCATTCAGGCTGTGCGAAGAGCCGCAAATGTAATCAATGACAGTACCATAATTCTCCCCCACTACAATTTTCGTGTCCTGGAGAATGATGGCGAGTGCAAGGCGGACATAGTAATGAGGACCTTCATTCATTACTTCAACGACCCAGATGTTATTGGTGTTTTGGGTCCAGCATGTAGTGAGACGGTTGAACCCATAGCCGGTATATCGCGGCACACCAATATGGCAGTAATTTCATATTCAGCTGAGGGCGCCTCATTTCTCGATCGAGAAGCCTATCCCTTTTTCTTCCGCACAATTGGTTCAAATAGACAGTACGAAGATCTCTATATTAGTTTTATGAAAGAATTTGGTTGGAAGCGTGTTGCCGCCATTACCGAAGACGGTCAGAAGTACACCGAATATATTTCACATATGGAAACAACATTGAAAAATAATAATTTTGAACTTATTGCAAATAAAAAGTTTTTGAATGATGTTAATTCGCAGCAAATGAAGAAGGTGAGTTATAACTTCAATACACGAATACGCTGTTTGAAAAATATATTTCGATAAAGAGTAAGATATGTATCATGTATGGCCAATACTACTGATACGTTTACTTCATTACATATTAAAGTAATTTACTATATACAAAAAAGTAAGAGACGTATGTTTGGATAATTCGAATCAATTCTTACTAATATATACAGTATTTTTCGGTTAATTGCACATCAAAATTTGCACAAATTTTTATTCAATTAACCGAGGAACCAATTATCCAAACCCGCTTAATTGAATAGTTTGTTCAATTACAGTAATCACGTATAATTTGAACTACTAATGATTTAAAAAAATCAATGTCAAATACAAATTACGCTTTCTCGCAGTTTTTCCTTAGCAATAAACATATGTTTTGAATTAAATTATGTCAAATATGTATGTAAAAAATTACAGATTATTTGTCAATTATTATTATGCAATTAACCGGTGAAAAGTAAAAGGAAATTTATTTTTGATGACATGAATTTTGAACCAATTAAGCGGGAAAATCAATTGACAGGGTTTAATTATCCAAGAAAATTTACATGTATTTTCCTACGAAATATTTTTTGCTTCATCATGTGGTTCAATTAAGCGTGGAAACCAATTAACCGTAGGGTCAATTAACCGAAAAATACTGTGTAATGTAATATGTACTATTCACATTTTATATAATTTTTGAAATAATTTTTTCTGTCCGAAGAACCATAAAAACATTGCAAAGTACATAGAATTGGGTTGCAATTTTTTTCTTTCTACTTCAGAAAATCCCCTCTTTTGGATTCTGCTCGATTTAACGGATTGTAAATTGTCTTTCGTATAGATGAAAACATTCCCGACAATAGGATAACACTTTTCCTCAACTAGCGGTTTTAATATATCACTGAATTACATCATAAGATAACCTTTGGCCTGACATGTTTTTCAAAAATGAAAAGTTGTTTTCATACTGGTGAAACAGAGCATATTTGTTTTTGTTGCACTGTTCTTCTATTTTGAACTAAAATTCAATTTGGTTGACTCAAACTTTATTAAGCGCAGCACACAATTATGATAAATTACAAATAAAAAGTTGAAACAATTTGTGAAGACGATATCATGTGAATACAATATCGGATTTCATCTTTGGTTTCATTTCCAGTAACACTTACTCAGTAAACTCTATTTGAAAGAGTAAACCGTTTTATTGTCTTGCAATAATACCGAGAAAAGTAAACAGATAACATCCAGTAAGATTTTTCAAAATATCATGTAATTTCACCTTAAAGTGTTTACTGTTTAGACTTCTCTCTCTCTATATATATATAAATTACGTGTATGTTCGTGATCTCTAAACTCAAAAACTACTACACCTATTATGACCAAACTTTATGTACATGCTCTATTGGGCGTGAGGAATGTTTATGTGTAAATTGAAGTTTGTTCGACAGATGGCGCAACATTCTGCTTCAGTAATAGGTATTTGAACAATGAATTTGTAAAGGAACCGGACTTGCAATAATGCAAAGCAAAACAACGTTTGCCGGGTCAGCTAGTTAAGGAATAAAATTCACAAAATATCAATTTTTTTTTTACTTTGGTCACAAATTAATGGCTGATTGAAATACATTGAATTGCTTTTGTTAAATCTTACTAGAAGAAATTATTTTTTTAAATAAGAATTGTCTGTGAAAATTGTAGACTCTAGAAATTTTTGTTAAATTTTTATTTCAGCACCTGGAAGATTTAAAGCAGAGACATGCCCGAATTATAATCGCAGATATTCACAACAAATACGCGGCTATGTTATTGTGCGAAGCTTTCAAGCTAGAGGTAAAAAATGTCGATGCCAGTAAATATATTATAATACACAATTCGTTCTTTCAGATGACAGCGTATCAGGGATATGTCTGGTTTCTACCATCGTGGCTCTCGAAAGACTTAAACTCGCTGGTTATTGAGGGTAATATTAATTGCACAATTGCGGAATTGGAAAAGGTTAGCTCCGGTTGCAATCCGATTGAGTCCCAAGTCTAATTTTGAGTTTATATTTGTTTAGGTTTTCGAAGGTCATTTTAGTATTACCCACTTACCTTTCGGAAATAATGACACTATGATGCAAGAAAATATTACAATTAAGAACTGGATAGATTCATACAGCAGCAATGTGAAGGACATTTCCCAGTATACGGCATTCGCGTATGACGCTGTTTGGGTATACGCCAAGGCAGTGGATACAATTCTAAGCGAGAACAACGGTGTGGTGGATTCTTTCAAATCAAAACAAATGGTGAAGCGTCTGGTAGATATTATTTGGGAAACGGATTTTCATGGACTCTCTGGAAGAGTGAGGTTTGGTGAAGGCGGGTCGAGAATAACGGATTTAATTGTAACCCAATGGCGTAAAAATCAAACATTCGTAGTTGGAAAGTATACACCAAAAGTGATTGGTAGCGGAAGGAATTTAAGAACTAATGGTGGCGATTTAAATATTGGCATGGCTCGCATTGTCTGGTTATCAGATACTAAGCCACCAAGTGACGGGACATTTGATTGCACTTTTTCGTCACTGGCAAAGATGATGCACGTGGATTGCGAAAAGGCTAATGTGCTATTTACGACCTTTGTTTGTATGGCGGCGGTAATAATAGTTTCAACGGTTTCATTTCTCTTCTGGAAACGCCGATATGACAGAAAACTAAAAGAATCGGCGAGGATCATGAAGAATTTTGGTATTGATTTGCTGTCTCCATCGAACAGTAGCGCAAACACTTTGGACAAATGGGAGGTACCAAAAGAAAACGTTGTCATCAATCGAAAATTAGGTGATGGAGCATTTGGCACAGTTTACGGTGGCGAAGCTCTAATTCCCGCTGAAGGTTGGACTGCAGTGGCTGTTAAGACGCTCAAAACAGGAGCGTCTACTGAGGATCGACTGGACTTTTTATCCGAAGCTCAGGCGATGAAGCTCTTCAATCATAAAAACATTGTAAAACTATTGGGAGTTTGCCTTCAATCGGAGCCAATCTATACTATTATGGAATTCATGCTTTATGGAGATCTGAAGACTTATCTTTTGGCTCGCCGTCACTTGGTCAATGAACAAATTAGCGACGACTCCGACATTTCATCGAAGCGTCTTACTAGGTACGCCTTAGATGTGGCAAAAGGTCTAGCTTATTTGGCACAACAGAAATACGTTCACCGCGACATTGCCTGTCGCAATTGTCTGGTTAGCGCCCAGAGAACTGTTAAAATAGGAGATTTTGGCATGGCACGACCAACATATGAGAGCGATTACTACCGGTTTAATCGAAAGGGAATGTTGCCTGTTCGCTGGATGGCACCAGAAGCTTTAGCCCTCGGCATGTTCACCCCTGCGTCCGATGTTTGGGCTTTCGGGGTTGTACTTTTCGAAATCATTACATTCGCTTCAGTTCCTTATCAGGGACTGACAAATAATCAGGTTCTGGAATATGTCAAAAATGGCAATACACTACAAGTGCCGGTCGGCATAAAACCTCAGTTAGAAGCTCTGATAAATGCATGTTGGAATCGGGACCCCAAGAAAAGGCCAACTGCGTCTGACATTATAGAATACATATCGAAATATCCAAGTCTTCTAACTGCATGTTTGGATTTCCCTAGTGCCTCAGTTGAAATGCCCGAGACTGAATGTGACGAATTTGAGCTACTATCGAATGTTCTTAGATGTTCGCCGCCAGCTAATGACTCTGATTTAGACGTTGTCGCCCAAACCTCGTTAGCTGATAGATTCGTAGCTACTAACAACGAGAGAAATGCCTCCCAGCCGATAAACATCGGCATGGACCAAATCAACCAGGCAGCGACTTCCGAGCAGTATGCTTCGCTAACACCAACGACGCCAGATGGCTACAGTATTATGTCACCACTTCTCAATCAATCAACCAAAACGGTTATTCAAGAAATTCAATTTTAAGAGTATGCAGAAAATAGTCTTGAAATATAAATTTGTATTTAGGTGTCTCACCAAACATATAACCAGCCATCTTAGTAACTTCATTTACTCACACTTAACGCTCTCATACTAAGGGTCAATACCCTGCAACCATAGACAAATGAAGGAATAGACACCAAAATGCTCTCACCAACGCTCTCTCAAATTGAGTTAGCTAACAGGTATTTTCCTTTTTAAATCAAATTTATAAACTTTTTAAGGTGGAAGACAATATAGTTAGATTTTTGCAAAATCTATAACACAGGATAAATATATTACATAAAATATTGATACTTTTGCTACAAATTGGCTTTGAGTTTTTTGATTTGAGTCACTTAACTAGCACTTTCTTGAGTACTTTGGTGTCTATACATTCATTTGTCTATGCTGCAACTTACCTCAACTCTAAAGAGAATAATATATAATAAAAAAGACTTGTATCAGGAATTCAACGGGAACGTTGGCCTTATTAATAATCGAATTCACTTTAAGTATGTTTTTGTATATTGAACTTAGTTGTAGATATCTTTTAAGAATCTTGGTTCCTATTGTAATGCTTTATTAATTTATTATATTTTGTTTTTGTGTTCTAGTTTTAAAAATATAATATAAATGGTTTTTCTTGTAAACGAACAAATAATATTTATGTATATGCATATAGTGAGCAGCAAAAGTCAAGGTACCCAATACAAATAAAAACATATTGGGTAATTACTCAAAAAATAATTTACAAAATTTAAAACAATTATTTTTATTTCATGTATTTACTCCTATACTACAAAGTAATATTTCATTTATTTGTTCCAACAAACCATAAAAAAAATCGAGATCGTATCAACTCTAAATTTTTGCACAGCATAAGTCATGGTACCCCTGGTCAGAGCTGACATTACACATCATTTATGGGATAAAATCGTTTAGTAAAATAGGTGGCAACTTTTTAGAGTTTTGTCAAATTCTCTTTTAAAACAATAACGGTACTTTCCACATTTCCAAAGGCATTTGCTTAGAGCAACAAGTGAAAGCAACAATTTTTTAAAATGCCTAGAAAAGAACTAACTATTGAAGAGCGAAAAATAATAATTAATAACCATGAAATGGGAAAATCCTATTCCGAAATAGGTACAATGATAAACAGAACCAAATCAGCAGTCCAAAAAGTGGTTAATCGATACAAAAAAGAAAATATAATTGAAAATAAACCGCCATCACTCCGTCCCAGGAAGCTCAACATCGGAGAAGAACGAAAAATTGAATATATTATTAAAAAAGATACATTTACCAGCGCTCCTAAAAAAGTTGCAGACACGGTACGTAGATGCATCAATGCTTTGCATGGATTCAATGCTCGCACTGCCCGCAGAAAACCACTTGTTAACAAAACAAACAGAAAGAAGCGTGTCGATTTTGCAAATTATTATAAAAACAAGACAAATGAGTTCTGGGGAAAAGTTATTTTCTCGCACGAATCGAAATTTAACATATTTGGGTCGGATGGACGCTCGTTGTTGTGGGGGAAAAAAAGGCGAAGAGCTCAATCCAAAAAATACTCGCAAAACAGTAAAGCACGGAGGGGGTAGAGTAATGGTATGGGGATGCATGTCAGCAACTGGTGTTGGCAAATTGGTATTCATTGAGGAAATAATGAATAAAACAGTTTACATCAATATTTTGAAACAAAATTTTAATCAAAGTGCTGAAAAACGCAACATTCGTGATAATTATTACTTCTAACAGGAAAATGATCCAAAACACACTGCTATTGTTGTTAAGAATTGGATCGTATACAATACACCACACATGCTGATAACACCTCCACAAAGCCCCGATTTAAATCCGATTTAGCACCTATGGGATCATCTAGATAAACGTATCCGAAATCATACAATTTCCAGTAAGACCCAACTCAAAGAAATACTTCTGACGGAATGGGGAAAAATGTCGTCGGACTACACTAAAAAACTTGTATACTCAATGCCCGAACGATTGAATTAAGTTTTAAAACTCAAGGGATATCCTACCAAATATTAGGTAAGTCAATTTAATTGTAAAAATTAAGTAATATTAAATAATTCATTATTTTTCTCAAGGGGTACCAAGACTTATGCTGTGCAAAAATATGGACTTGACACTATGTCGATTTTGTTTTATATTTTGTTTATTATAAAAGGCAAGTCAATTTAATTGTAAAAATTAAGTAATATTAAATAATTCATTATTTTTCTCAAGGGGTACCAAAACTTATGCTGTGCAAAAATATGGACTTGACACTATGTCGATTTTGTTTTATATTTTGTTTCAATAGAAAAATGAAATTGTACTTTAATTTGTTGTAGTATAGGATTGAATACATGAAATAAAAATATATATTTGAAATTTTGTGAATTACTGAATATTTTTTGATTTGTATGGGATACCATGACTTTTGCTGCTCACTGTATGTGTACAAATGTATTTGTGATTTTTTCTGATGGACTTCCTTGGAAATAAAAATCAATGCCGAAGACATGTTTTTTTATCTCAATATCCATACATATACATTAGTTTTAAATAATATACAATATTGCATAACTGTGTCTACATACGTCTAATTGTTGTAATTACTCATTATTTCGAAGGAATCGGAAAATAAAGCAAAACTTTCGAACAGATTCGTTTCTCTGAAGGCAGATTATGTTCAGAGATGGGCTATATTGGCTCCAATTCGAATAACGGCGCATTGGAACAGTTCCAACCAGAACTTGGTGTGATTCGATATTTCGGGTTATGGGGTTATCATTGGAAAACAATCAGTATCAACAGAGAGGGCGCACTTTTAGTTTTTAAGCCTCATAATTTCATTTTTAGAATTTTGGGTTTTTACAAATTTTAACTGATAGGGTAGGGATGAATCAACACTTTTTTGTTGTTTGAATGAAAGAGGATGTAGGGGGAATGAACAAGTTCTCCAGGAATTGAAGAAATTTGCAATTTTTGTGATTTTTAATACAAAAGGCTTGTTTCATTTGATCCGACAAATACAGTCGACCACCGGTAAAACGAATACTCAGTTTAACGAATTTGAGATTTAACGAATGAGCAAAATAGTCGACTTTCACAGAATAAAGCATATAACGAACATTTTCCAAATGTATGGCGCAAAAAATAATGGTTTAGCCTTATACAAAATATGTAATCGCGTTATTATTACTTTTATTACGTTAATTAATATATTTTTTGTTACAAATCCATTGAATAGTGGATAAACCTTTTTTTTAAATTGTAAGTTATAAAACTTATGGACAAAAACAACAGGTGTCATCTTTGTCCATAACGGAATCTACATCGTGACGATGAGACCATCAGTGGCCTGTACTTTTTTACATATTATAAGAGACAGACGTACGCACACACACTGGAGCCATCTCCATGGACTCCCTCCGATACCTCCCCCGCAAATAGTCAATTTTGAAAATTTGTTAATCCAATACCAAGCTAATTGATACAATACCAACTGTGCACATCGTAAATTAATATTATGATACCATGGGAACACAGCATCCGATTTTAAGCAAACTTTGCATAACTGAATATTTTAATCAAAGCGGTGTAATGTTTAAAGATGGGGACCTATCTGTCTACTCATCTGGTGCAAAGGGTCAAAATTTTAAAATGTTGTGAATTTAATAAAAAATCCACCTCGACACTATTTCATATCAATCGGACAATCAATTATAATCAACTTTTACTATACATTTCCCCTATGTGCGCCGTTTTACACTTTTTGGCATTTATTTCAACTTTATTTCCTTTTTATAAACGTCAATTTTGAATATTTATACCCTTCACCACACTGTGGTACAGGTCTTTCTGCATACATTTGTAACAGGTAAAAAGAAGACAATACTTAGAGTTGGGTTTGTATTAAATGTATTTTATATTAAAAAATAATCTGTATTACATCAAGTCTTCTATTTTGTGAAATATATATATATATATATATAAACACCTTAGTCTGTTTTTACACGGTTTTGATATAACACGGATTGAAAATTGAATATTTTTATTTTTTAGACGATTTTATTCCATTTAGCACGATTTGAAATTTTTTTTTGTCAAATTTAATTTCGAAAAATTTTTCCATAAAATTGTATAATTTCTTTACAATTTTTATATGACAATTTTATAATTCTTGATGGTGCACTAGCTTTGATGATGGTGTGACTATTTTTTTTTATTTTCCAGAAGTCTGCTTGTCAAATTTACGTAGATTAATGTAAAGTGTCGGGTGTACTCAAGTAAGCGAGATGTTACTGCTACACCTAATAAAAAATCGAATTTTTCAAATCGGAAATGGAAAGAAAGTAAAGAAAGTAGTAAAGTCGGACTGGGCCGACTATATGATATCCTTCACCACTTTGGGTATATTGTACATATGTATCCTTACAATTGTAAGGATTCAATTTTCCCTAGGAGGAACATACTCATGTCTTTCTGCAACCTATGTTAAATGTAATTTCATTCGGGCAGATTTAGAGTCGTCTGCGTACCATGGGACAAATATATGGAAAACGATTTATAGGAAAATTGATAAAAGTTACTTGGTACGCCGCACTGTTTTATTTAATTTCAACCAGACACCCGTTCAAAATATATATATATATAGGCAATATTGCCAACAAAATGGGGACTTCGCCCCTTATATATCATTTTTCAAAAATTTTTTTTTAAATGATGCTGACATTTTGAAAATCGATTATAAGATTATTGTAGTCGCGAATCTGCGTATTTTGATATGTATTTTGTGTATGTAGTATGCACAGCTTCAGAGTAAAACTCATCCAAAGTTGAGAATTTTGTGCGATCAAATTTCTAAAAAACCTATTTTTCGGGTAAAATTTTTAGATCTGTCAACTGAATGATATGGGTACCCGCGATCAATAAGGTTTTTTACGTTTCGGATGATATAAAATCTTCTTCGTGAGAATCCATCTACTAGAAAG